TGTGTGTGTGTGTGTGTGTGTGTGTGTGTGTGTGTGTGTGTGTGTGTGTGTGTGTGTGGCTTCCCAGCCAATTACCACATCTCCCAGACAGACTGAGACTGCCTGGGTCCTGCCAGCCAATCGGAGAGGGGCTGCGCACTGCCGGGCCGGAGGTGGTTACCATGGTAACCAGGAGGCCTGTTTGCATGGAGGCTGATGGAAGAGTGATGGATTACAGTAATGGGATGGAGGGAGGAGGAGAGGAGGAAGAGAGCGGAAAGGAGGAGAAGGGAGAGCAGAGATGGGAAGATGAGAAGGAGGGAGGGAGGGAGGGAGAGAGAAATGGGGGAGGAGGAGAGGGAGGCATCAACGGGAGGTGTGTGCGTGTGTGGGGGGGACTCATACATAAAGATATTGGAAATGTATGAATGCATCTGAAATGAAGCAACTTAAAAAGATGAGAAACGAATGGGAGAAAAATGATAAAAGGGGGAGTGGGGAAGGAGTTGGAGAGGGGGAGAAGATATTGTGAGTGGGGTTTCTGGGGGTGGGTGGTGGGGGGGGGGGTAACTGTGGCATATGATTGAATTCCTCTCTCTTTTTTCTGTCTGGGCTTATAGGCGTGTGTTTGGCCATCTGTCCTTGCAGCAGACAGAGGTGTGGAGAGAAGAAATCTCAGCTCCTCACTGCTCCTGCAGTCGTCCCTGAACTTCTTCAGTTTCTCTCCGCAGCGCTCTTCTGCTCAGACAAAAAAACAAAGTGTAGTTCAGACTCTTAAAAAGTGCAACTTTACCAAAAAAAAAAATAGAAAAGCAGTCGTGATGAGTTATTATTATATGTATTTTTCAAAAATAGTTTATTATTTTGACTAGAATGCATTTTATTTTTATCTACCGTGGAAAGACAAAACAATGATGCTTCCTGTTGGTGTCTGTTCTCACTTTAAAATAATTCTTCATAAAACACTGGATGGATTTTGGTCACTGAAATACTTACGCACTTACAGCTGCTGGCACTGATACAGGTTGGAAGCTGAAGCTTGTCAAACCCACCCCCACCACCCCCCACAATAGCAAGCAGGGCTTTGCCTTGATGAAGTTAATAAATAAATAAATAAATAAATAAATAAATAAATAAATAAATAAATAAATAAATAAAACACTTTAAATATTTTTTTCCAAATATGGACTTCTTTTTTATATATCTGTAGCTCTTCTCTCACTGCTGTACGGGAGCGGCCGTTATCCACATTTAATTATTTTCCATGGTTTTCTTGTTGTGTTCACTTTTAATATTTTAAAATCTTTATCAGTTATTCTATTATTGTATTTTTATGCTTTTAAGAAGGGTGGTATAACTCTACAGCCCCTTCTCTAAGGGTGTGCCTTTAACTGCTTTTTCTCGATTCATCCTTTGCCAAATGCGTCTTCATTTTCAGTTCCTGCCTAATGTTTTCAGTGGTGATCCCAGGCAGGTGACACCAGGTATTGCGCACAAGTGATTTTGCCGATTGGTTGACTGAGTCAAAGGCAGAA